GTGAGGGAATTTTAACTGCCACAGGACACACAGTCATATTTCAGAAATGCAACAGCAGTCAAGCTCCATCCGATGGCAAGAATTCAATATGCTTCGGTTTTTGCTGATGTTCTATTCTGTTCCAGGCTACTTTAAGCCACAATTGCAGCTGAATCTCTTCACAATAGCCAGGGGGCTTACAGGACCCTTATCTGCATGATTGTAATAGGCTATACATTTATATATCCTTTGGATGGGACCCTTAGAGGATACCAGGTTTAATCCCTTCATTTTACATTTGAAGAAACTGAGGCCCAGGGAGATGAAGTGAATTTCCTGAGGTATTGACAGAAGCAGGGTTTGAACCCAAGTTTTCAGAAGCCATGGCTCCTTTTGCTAATTATTGCATCTTCCAATAGATAATAAGTTCCTTAGGGGCAAAAACTATTTCGTTTATGTCTTTTTATCCCTGGACAGCTATCCCTCTTCTCTATTTGAAGAGGGATAGAGTGCCAGGCCTGTAGTCAGTTAGAGCTGAGTTGAAATCTGGCCTCAGACACTTAATATCTGTGTGACTGTGGGCAAGTCACTTAACTCTGTTTGCCTTAGTTCCTTATCTTGTAAAGAGCTGGTCTAGGAGGCAACAGAGGAAATACTTAATCACATTGGTAATAAGATTTTGCTGATGCAGGAATTTTCTATGTCAATGAAATCAGAGGTGTCATATGCATATGCCTCTTATCCCCATTGCCTTGTATTTAATGTATGTGTATGAATTTACATATAGTGTGGCATAATGTATAATGGGCTTTCAATAAAGAAACAGTGTAGCATAAAGGCTAGCATGATGGGCTTGGCCTTCAGAAGCCTTGGTTTGACTGGCTATATGACCCTGATCAAGGCACTTAACCCAGTTAGGTGGTATACTGTGGGTAGAGTGCTGGACCTAGAGTCAGGAAGACTTAAATCTCGCCTCAGAAAATTATCATTTAGCTGACCTGTGAGAGTCATTTAACCTCTATTTGCCTCATTTCCTCAATTGTAAAATAGAGATAGCAGCAGCTAGGTGGAATAGTGGGTAGAATGTAAGGCCTAAATTAAAGAAGACCTAACTTAAAATCTGGCCTTAGACATTTACTAGCTGTGTGACCCTGGGCAAGTCACTTGACCCTGTTTGCCTCAGTTCCTCATCTGTAAAATGAGCTGGAGAAGGAAATGGCAAACTACTCCAGTCTCTTTGCCAAGAAAACCCAAAATGGGGTCTTAAAAAGTTGGGTACAACTGAAATGACTAAACAACAATAAAATAGAGATAATAATAATACCTAACTCCTACCATAACAACGCAATTGTTCTGAGCTTCAAATGAGATAATATTGATAGAGTTTAACACAATGCCTGGCACATAGGAGGTGCTTAATGTTTCCTTCCTTCCTTCTCCAAACAAATGTTTAAGTCTATAACTTCCAGCCACATTGCAGATCTATATCAGTGGAGAAAATTTTCATACCCAGAGTTCCCCACATAGATGAAATGATAGGTCTAGATCAAAGAGAATCAATAATAAGCATTTCTGTAGGTAAAGAAGTATACATGTGCGCACTACAATATTCACACCTAAACTTAGCCTTGTCAACACTTTCCCGTTTATAAATGTTATACTTATGTTGAAAAATTCATGGCACAAGCAGGAAGGGCTGAATTGTAAATTTCACTGTTCTGCAGCATCAGCTCAGAACTCTGAGCTATAATTTGTGGGAGCCTGACAAGTTTTATATAATTGTTCATTTCTGAATTGATCACACGTTAGGTCAAAGATAGACTGAGCCTTTTGCCAGTTGTGATGTGAATTTTTCCCACACGATGGTTTTCCTCTCTGCCAATTATATCAGCTGAAAATAATTTCAACAGCTAACTATCACTTTTATGAATCAGTGCCCTGAATTTGCATGGGTTGGTCATTTTATTGAGAGAACAGGAGAAACTGACAAGAACAAGCAGCTATCCAAGGAGTGCGATATGCTGAGTTGACAAATACTGTCTTTTCTCCTTGGATTTGCACTTCTCAACAAAGTTAATTTATGGTATTTTGAAATGGCTGATGTTTGTAAACTCTGCAAGTATACGGGCTATGTACACAGTATTATTAGGAAGTACATAAACCTCATTCAAAAAATCATCGCTTTTCCTTTTATTTTAAAAGAAATATCTGTAGCCTAGAAATACTGAATTCTGCTCTTGTCTACATGGACTCAAGTCAATGAGACTTGAATTTCTACATACAGATTCACTTTTTTGTATCCAATTATCAACCATGGCTACTATCATTAGCATAGCAATGCTTAAATAACATGGATCTCCCAAGAGCCTGAACTTCTAAAAAAACAAATGTAGAAGATTATGAAATATGATTTTGGTTGGAACTGGGAATAGGGTTCATTAGAAGGCTTTTCATCATTCCAGACCTTGTATAAAGAGCATACTTTTTCAAAACCAAAAGATTGAGACACAGAGGTGGTTGCCTTGCTAGACTTCTTCAGAATTTCTTCTGAGCACTAGGGTAAAAAATGATTTATTTTCCTACGTTACCTCTTCATTGAATTCTGGACAGGAGTGAAAAAGGAATGGGAATCTTAATACCATATAAAATATTTATGACAGCTACCTTTGGAGAAATGAGCATCTACGTGGCACAGTAGATAGAGCATGAGGCCTGAAGTCAGAAAGACCCGAGGTCAAATCTGGTTTTAGACACTTACTATGTGACCTTGGCCAAGTCACTCAATAATGTTTGCCTCATTTTCCTCATCTGTACAATGAGCTGGAGAAGGAAATGGCAATCCACTCCGTTACCTTTGCCAAGGAAACCCCAAATGGGGTCATGAAAAGTCAGACATGACTGAAAAATTACTAAACAACAACAAACATTTAGAGGAAAGGAGTCAGCATAGTTTAAGTAATAAAGTACTAGTCTTAGAGTTGAGCTGACGTGGGCTTCTTTCCCATCTCTGACACTTACTGAGTGAGTGTCTCAGGAAAATAAATATCTAATCTCTCAGTGCCCAAAGCAACTTTCTAAGCCTCTAAGTTGCAGAACGGTGGCTGATTTGCATTGGCATAAATCTAGCATTCCAGTCTAATACACTCCATGATCCAGTCCAGTCAGCCATCTTGATGTTCTCCCACACAATACTCCATCTACTATCTCCACACCTTTGCATTTGCTAGGCCTAATGCCTAGAATTCATGTCTCATCACTATCTCTTATAATGCTTTTTTCCCCCTTCAGAGGTTAGTTTAAGTTCTACCTTATATACGAAACCTTTCCTGATCCTCAGCCTTCTCTCAAAAAAATTACTTTTCATTTATATTGTGTATATTTTTATATGTGAATGCTATTGCTATTTTCCCTCAATAGAATGTAAATTTCTTGAGGATAAGGGCCACTTTTCAAATTGTCTCTGTAGCCCCAATGTCTGCAACAGTGTCTGCCATTTAGTAGAAGCTTAACAAATTTTTGTAGATTGATTGATTGGTGGAAGGAGATTTCTCACTGCAGAGCACCTTACAACAATAAAATTATAGCTCTACAGAAGCAAACAAGCAAGTAAAAACACCTATAGGCAACTGAGGCATGCTTTTGGAGGTAGCTTCAATTGAAGAATCCAGAATTTTGGACTTGGAATTAGGAAGAAATTGGTTCAAATAATGCAAGTCACTCAAACCAGTCACCCACTACAGATCTAGTCCCTATTCCCAGCATATCAGTTTACCTGTCTCTCTGCTTGTCTATCTATTTATCTATCTACCTCTCCATCCATCCATCCATCCATCTCCCTATCTATCTGTCTCTCTCATATACATAGCTGTTATTGTCTAGGCACTTAAGCTTTCTGTATCTCAATTCCTATGTCTAGAAGTTATCAGCTAAGTCACAGGCTTGTTACACTGTGCCAGTAGAAAGAATTCCCACAACAGGAGTTTCCCACTGCTGACAAAAATTGGGGATTTCCCTTAACAGCAATCCATCACTTGATAGATGAGATGATAATAAAGTACAAGGCTCTGTGGTACATGTTTTAGAGTACCATTGTGAATTATGAATTCTCACCATAACACCATTTATAACATAAAAATACAATGCTTCATGCAGTTGCAATTTTTGTAGTTTCTGACTCTGTGTGTGTGTGTGTGTGTGTGTGTGTATGTGTGTGTGTGTGTTTGTGTTAACTCTGATAGCCAGCTGGTAAAGTGTATGGAATGTCAAATTTAGAGTCAGGAACACCTGAGTTAAAATCCTAAGACTAGTTGCATGATACTGGAGTCACTTAACCATTCTGACCTCAGTTTCCATACCTGTAAAATGAGGATACCTACAGGATCTACTTCACAGGATTACCATGAGAATCAAATAAGATGATATATATAAAGTACTTTGTCAACCTTATTATTGTTGCTCTTGAGCCATTTTTCAATCCTATCTGACTCTTGGTGACCCCATTTTGGGTTTTCTCAGCAAAGATACTGCAGTGGTTTGCTATTTCCTCCTCCAGCTTATTTTATAGATGGGGAAACTGAAGCAAACAGGGTTAAGTAACTTGCCCAGGGTCACACAACTAGTAAGTATCTAAAGTTAGATCTGAACTCATAAAAGATGAGTCATTCTGACTTCAGGACCAATATTCTATCCACTGTTTCACCTAGCTATTCATTGACAACCTTAAAGCACCGTAAAAATTCTAGTAATCATGATATTAATAATAACTAACATTTATGTAGAGCTTACTATGCATCAGGCACTATACTAAGTACTTGAAAAATTATCATTTTTGATCCTCACAACAACCTGGGAGGTAGATACTATTATTATCTCCATTTTATGGATGAGGAAACTGAGGAAAACAGAGGTTATGTGACCAGCCCAGGGTGATATAACTAATAAGTGTCTGAGATCATATTTTAACTCAAGTCTTCATGGTGATGACTATGATTCCATAGATGCAAACAAATAAAAAATCTTACCTATAAATGAAAGGAGCAACTGTGGCAGTGTTTGGGTGACTATATTGCTGCTGGGGGAGCTGGACAGCGCCATTGCCTGCATTCTGTCCACCACTTGGCATGGCACAAGAAGCAGAGGCAATAACTTGGCTAGGCTCCTTTCCTTCCAAAGGAGCCAGACAATTAGAGGTGCTGCTGGACTTTTCAGTCATCTGAGATTTGGGTGCTGATTGGGACTGGTTGCCCTTTGTAGTCCTGAATTTTTCAGACTCCTTATTTCCTGTACTGCCCGGCGAAATGCTCTGTTTTGCTGTAGGCACCTTGGATCCTGGTTTTGGAATCCCACTCGAAGATGGTATTAAGCTTTCCTTCTTGGCCGTGGCAGTCTTGCTTCCCTTAGGGATCAAGCTTGCAATTTTGGAAGTCTTCTTCACTGTGGTCTCCATGACCTGCTCCTTCTCTTCCTTGACTGGCTTTTCAGTGCAAACTTTATTTTTGTCCCTGTTCTTTTCCTCCTTATCCTTTGGTAGCAAAGATTTTTTATTGCTCAGATTTTTGCTTCCAGCTTTTGGAGGGGTCAATTTCGGTGACACTTTGGGACTGCTGTTGGTTGACCCACTGCTATTCAGTCCACTGTTAAAGACATCCATCTCACCACACTCGGAAAAAGCATCATCATCTCGCCCACCATCACTGGGCACTGGATTGGGAGCCTGTGGGGGTCGCAAAGCTGTCCGAGCATTTACCAACTTGAATTTCTCCAGCATGGATTTCTGTCCAGATGAAGGAGGTTTGACCCCTTCTGCGAGAGGCGGCTTCAGCCTCTCTGAGGACGGCGTCGGAGAGGTGGCAGGGCTGGACTGCTTCACAGACAACATGGTAGAGGTGGCACTGTGCTTGACATTCATGGATTTGCTGCGCCAAGGCTTGCTGGTACTTGGAGAAGGGATGGCAGAGACTGGCTGCTGCCCCGTGCTGGTGGGATGCTGAACGTTGCCATTCACACCTGAAGATGTTTGAGGTCCTTTGGAAGAATCTACCCATTGAAATTAAAGAGAATAAACAACAAAAAAGAATAGTCAATTTAATTTACACCAAACACATTTTCCAATCCCAAGTGTAGCTTTGACCATCAGTGACATGTTATAATAGTGATGTATTGCCACCTTTGACATCTTCAATCAATCGATCACGTGAAGTATTTTTTAAACACATTATTTGGGGGCAGCAAGGCATAGCGGATAGAGATCTGGCCTCAGAGTCAAGACAAAATCTCAGTTTAAGCTCTGTCATTGACTTATATTAGATGTATGACTTGACGTAAGTCACAACCTGTCAGTGTCTTGGGCAATTCTTTAAGATGATGAGAGAGATTAATAACAACCAATGATTTGGGGAGAACTGGAGTTCTCTCCTTTTTCTGAAGCCCTGATTTCAAAAGTTCAGCATCTTGAAGGACATTACTGATAATAAGACTGGATTAACTTTTTTTACATTCTTGTTCAGATCCCACTCAGGTGGGTAGACCACCATGCTCCATTCAGGTTTGTGTGGGGATAAATTCTTTGAATAGATTGCTCAAGCCTGGGGATGGTTTGGGTATAGGGATTGTCTCTCTTTGCCATGATGTCACTCTCAACAACTCATTGGAATATTCATTCTCTCATTAATTGTTAATTAATCAGAGTTGATTACACCCTCAGGAACACCCCTCTTCCAAAAGACATACATATAAGCCATGACTATGCCACCATGATTGCCTTTGATATTCAAGAGTACAACTGGTCCTTTTACTAAAATGCTGAAATTATTAATAAAACAATTAAATCATTCAGAAATTATGTCTCTCAAATATTTTAAATGCCACAATAATAAATTACAGCAAAAATACTGACATGTGGTAGAAGGATTTTGCTTATCCCCTACACAAATGAAATCATAGGTCCAGGCCCTATCCCTGTTCTGGAAAGGATATCCCTTATATTTTTCCTCTGACATATTTTCTTTAAACATATTTTTTAGTCCCCTTCCACCAATAAAGTAATGAATAAACCTCTGAATTAAAAAAATCATTATATCACTCGATAGTAGTAGAGGACTAAATAACCCCAACTTTCCAGAGAAAAATGAACTATGCTAAATGTGACATGGAAACTCCTTGAGGACAGGAACTGTGTGTTCTTCTTTCCATGTATTTCCAATGCCCAGTACACAGCCTGGCAAACAGAAGATGCTTCATTAATGAAAAAGAAAATTAATATCCCTCTGAAGAGAAAAGAGCTAAGGGCAAAATGTTTCAGTAATCAGATTGTAAATGTTCATAATTTATGATTTAACTTCTTATCTCTCTTTTTTCCTTGCTTTTATAAAAAACCACAGGGTGCAAGCAAATCCATTAGTTTGACTACAGCATTACATTCAGTTGGAAAATCAAGTTAGCTCTTGACTCCCCATAGAAAATAAATTCTCTCTCTCTTCATACAAAGAATTGTGTTTGTAATAGACAAATCTCACTCAGCTCAGAAATTGTTGACTCAGAGATTTAGATATTGAAGAAATCTTAGAGGTTATCAAATCCAACACCTTCATTATGCAGATGAGGAAATTGAGTCTCAGAGATGGTAAATGAACTGGTTAGGGTCACAGAGCTAGTAAGTGTCTCATCAGAATTTGAACCCATGGGGCAGCTAGATGGCGCAGTGGGTAAAGTGAGTTCAAATCCGGCGTCAGACACTTGAAACTTACTAGTTGTGTGACCCTGGGCAAGTCACTTAACCCCGATTGCCTCACCAAAAACAAAGACAAAAAAAAAGAATTTGAACCTAGGTCTTTCAGATCTACTACTCTATCTACCATCGTACTACATGATTTTCATCACTGTACAACTTTCTCATCATTGATAAAAAGTCTTGTGTTTGAGAATAAAAATAACAATAATAATAAGTCAAATTCACATACTATCAGCAGGGCCTTTCTCTGCAGGATCAGGGTGAACAAGCTACTGTCACAATGATGAAGAATCCAACCCAACTGGGCCTGCTATGTACAAAACATTATTGCAACTTGCTGGGGACATAAATATAAATGAAAAATAGCCCCTCCCTGTACTAGGGAGAGACCACATGTACGGAGATGAATATATACCTGATACTTTATCAAGGATGAACATGAATACCTAGGGAGGTTAGGAAAGGCTCCACGCAGGAGGTAGCTAATTAACTGAACCTTGAAGGATGCCAGCAATTCTGAGGGACAGAAGTAAAATGGGAATACATTCAGGGTTGGAGGAATGCCTGTCTAAACCTCCAAAGGCAGGAGATGGAACATGAAGACACAGAAAAAGCAAAAAGTCAAATTTGGCTGGGAAAAAAAATAAAACAAACATAAACCCCACAAAAAAACAGTGTGTAAATGGAAATAATGTGCAATAAGGCCAGAAAGAGAGGTTCAGGCCAGAAATTATTTTCATTGTAATACATAGGGGAATTGCAACTTTTTTTTTCTTTTCTGATAGTGGATAATCATTATGATTAAATAATATTGGAAATGTGCACAGCACTTCTATAGTGCTTTCTTCCCAGTAATCCAAACTGTATAATAAATTATGGTTAATAAATCTAAAATTATTTTTATGCCTTGGAAGATCATTATGACTTTCTCCATTTTTCAGTTGTGGAAACTGAGCCACAGAGCATACATGTCACAAGGTAAGTGAAGGGAAGTACTAAGAGATAATCACACTGCCTGCCTTCCCAGTCTAGGACTTTAGTAAACTAGACCAGAAATACAAATAATACTTTCCTGAAATCTCTTGAGATTTTCCATGCCTGTATGACCTTGGGACAGTCACAATCTCCTTGAACCTCAGTTTCCTCATTTGTAAGATGAGATGGTTGACTTAGATGACCTCTAAACTCTCTTCCAGACCTAAATCTGTGATTCAGTAACCTGTATGTATGTATGTGTATATGTGTAGATGTATATATGTTGTATACACACATATCACATACATATGTCCATATATACATGCATGTACACACATGTGTATGAATGCATGGGAATATATGTATAATGTCCACACATATACACATATGTGCACATTGATACATGTATGCACACGAGTGATATACATATGTACACAAGTACACATAATAGATATTGCACACATGTGTGCTGTGTGTACATGCATGTACCATTTTTACATATACATACATACATACATATGCACACACATACATAGGTCCTTGGATTTAATTATCCACATGAGAGATAGGAGTAGTGCTAATCCATGTAAGGAATTATATTACCGTGTTTTTTATACAGCCAAAGATGTCTGAAAACCTCTTGTAAATCTGGTCTAGTTCACTGATGTACTGGGCTAATAATCAGGCAATTTGATTTATTTCCTACTTCTTCACTTACCTTGTGACATATCTGCTCTGTGTCTCTTTCTTCAGGAAAAAAAATGGCAAAAAATTTAATAGAACAGGATCTGAATCTCATGAACCTGCCAAGATTCTTTCCTGTTATAGTGTCAAACATCTGCCTTTCTGGACTTTCTAGTTCCTAATGCTCTCTCCCTTTGGAAATTACACTTCTCTGTCTTCATGTTGAGCTCTTTCAATAGAATGCTGGGTCCTTGAAGGCAGAGACCATTTCCAGGACCTGACAATATCCTCTACATAAAGTGTTCTCAGAGAAAATATGTTGTTGTTATATTTATTTGTTGAAATGAATAGAGATGAAAACTTAAATCCTAATTTTTAAAATCTGAAAGCTTTCATTTAATTTACTCAGTCAATTAGTTCCTATTAGGGGTTGGGCACTGTTTTAGTCACTAGGGATTCAGAGAAAAAGTTTCCTTAAAGCTCCTGGGGAGAGCAACGTGTACACTGGAAACACATAAAAAAATAAAAACAAAACGAATGGGTGGCAGCGGTAACAATTAAATTACTCTACAGGCTGTTGTTTTAGCAGTTGTAAATATCCCAATAGTTTTTATTTTTCATCTGTATTTGTGGCTACATGCATATACTATTAAGCCCTTATGGGAAATGGATATTTAGGGTGGTTTGAATGCTTTTGGATTACCTACTATGATTTAAATCTAATCACTTAATAAGTACTTATTATGTACATGCCATGTTACGCACTGGACACAAAGGACAGAAATGAGACAGCTTAGTAGGATAAGCAAATTATTGACCCATGGAAACCTCATTCTTCCTTTTCTGCCTTCTTAACTAATTCAGGTTGGTTGTTGTTTTTATTGTTGTTTATCCTTTGTTCTGGAAGAGGACCATGACATCAGGGAGGTGATGCCATGACTTTCAAGTGAATTGGATTTAAGTGAAGAGGGCTGTGCAAAGTCACCAGCCTCACTTTCTCCTCCAGAGTCATCTGGGTCCAGTGGCCAAATATTCATCAGGAAGACGAGAGATGGCCCCAAGTTACAGATGAAGCTCCCGAGTCATAGACTGGATTAGGACTAAATTTTCTAACAAACTCAAATTCTCCAGGCCTAGCATAGTCATGATCGTCCTCATCTTGAAAGGCAGTGTCTCATAGTGGATAGGGCATTTGACTGGGCATCAGGAAATCAAATACTATCTCAGACATATGACCTTAAGTAGGTCTCTTCATCTCTCTATGTCTCCATTTTCTCATGTGTAAAACAAGGAGATTGTACTTGATGACCTCTAAAGTGTCAGTGAGGTGGCCTAAGGTGGCAGTGAGGTGGCGCAGTAGATAGAGCACTAGGCCTGGTGTCAAAAATACCCCACCTTTGTGAGTTCAAATTGATTCTTAGACACTAACTAGCTATGCGACACCTGTCAAGTCACTTAACCTTATTTGCTTCAGTTTCGTCATCTGTAAAATTAGCAGAAAAAGGAAATGGCAAACCACTCCAGTATCTTTGCCAAAAATACCCTAGATGGGGCCACAAAGAGTCATGGCATGACCGAATAACAAGTGAGATGTTCTTGACGATCTCTTCCTGATCTAAATCTGTAAGTCTATTATCATCTGTTTCAG